AACTGAGGAATGGATAGAAAGAGGTGATATTTTTACACGATGATGTATTACCTATAAAAAGATAAATTCAAGGCTTTTCTAGGTAAATGGACAAACTAGAGACTGTATTGGTAAGTGAAATAAATCAGACTTGTATGTGTGCACATCATATTGTCTCAGTGTGAGAACTGGAAAGAGTAAATAAAAGCTGAAAGAGACAACATACACTGCGAAAGGGAATCTGTTCAATGGGAAAAAAAGACTGGGATGAGGAAAAGGACAAAAGAAGTAAGAGAAAGATACATTCATGTATATATGCAGGATAGTTTGAATAAGTTTATTGCTGATTTCTGCTGGTCTATTGAAAGTTGTTAATGCCTAAATTTTCTTTTTAATTTCTTATAATTTTTTTTAAAACCAATTACACAGTTTGTATCTGGTAACCTAAACAACTAATTTGAAAATAACACTATGCAATACAATAACCATTGTCAAATTCCTATTACTGTTTAATAAAATTTTGTACTGTGTCTTATGATTTTTTTTATTTTGTATTCTTTAAAAAATAAAAAATATTGGGTTGGCCAGACAGCTCAGCAGGTAAGGGTTCGATCCCAGGTGTGCTGAGCCAGCCCCGACCCCGACCCCGGGCGCACTGAGAAGGCAACTGAGACTGGGTGTGGTGGTGCGCGTTTGTGATCTCAGTGCTTGGGAGGCTGAACACAGGAGGATCACTGAGTCTGATCTATGTAGTTAGAACCTGTAGACCCAGTACTAAATACATTAAAACAAATAAATATTTTTTCAAGTGTGGCAGATTTAAAAAATGGTTCTATTCTCTAATGTACTTGAGAATCTTCTCCTCTTGGAGGGAATATTGTCAGACCTCCAGCACAGAATTTGATCAACTGTGTTTTGAACTTGCAGCACACTCATAATCACTGGCTCCTTGTGGTATTTTTATCTCATTCTCCATTGCTATTCTCTCCTCTTCCCAAGGACCTTTGTAACCACCTCAAGGTGTTTAACACATCTATTTGATCATCTTTATTTATTTTCTGATTTTTAGGGAAGGATCTACAGGGTGTTCAGGGTCTCACTACTAGATCAGACTCCTAGTGATTCTCCTGTTTACAGCCTCCCAAGTGCTGGGATAACAGGCATGTGCCACTACACCCAGTCTCAACTGCAGTCTGAGCATGCCCCGGGGGCAGGACCAGCATGGCAGGCCCAGGGATCAAACCCCCAGCCCCAGCGCCTGCTTGCAGGTACTTTAATCCACTGGGCTACTTGGCTGGCTCTACTTGATCATTTCTTTGTAAGTTCTTTGCATAATTTTTGTGTTTTAAATTTATACAAATGATACTGTTATAGGTTGTATTTATTTTTATTCAACACTGTAATTTTAAAATGTCTTTGCTTCTATGGGATACATGGTATTTCAGGTATACCCACCAGATTTTACCTAATTTCCCAGTGTTGGACACGAGGCTGGACCCAAGTCTTTGCCACGAAAAATGTGTTATCTTCATATCTGTTTCTTAAACTTAAGATTTTTGTAGGCCAAATATCCAGCAACAATTTAATTTCTGTGTCCTTTTAACTATCATCCTCCAGAATGGTTCTACCACCTTACACTCTCACCAGTAGTACACAAAAGTTTCTGTCCCCTCAACCTCACTCCTTGTTATCATCCACCTAATTGTACTGAGTTTTCTTATTGTTTTAATCTGAATTGTGAATACTAATGAGTGTGAGCATGTCTTTTTTTTTTTTTTTTTTTTTTAGAACCAGGGATTGAACTCAGGCCCTGTGCTTGCCAGGCAAGTGCTTATTCTACTGAGCCATCTCCCTGGCCCTTGTCTTTTTATGTTGTTAGCTTATAAGACTTACTCTTCTAAAAACTGTTCATTACCTTGGCAAACTTTTCTATTAGAACTATTTGTGTATGTGTGCATGCGTGTGTGTGCCATTTGTGATCAAGTTAAATGTGTCTATTGTAAAGCTAGTTACTTGTCAAATTTAGACATAAACATGCAAATATTCTCCCATGTGGTTATCTATCATAAAATATGAATATTTCCCCCCAATATTTGCTCTAGTTACTTATATAATAAATCACCCAAACCCTTAGAAGCATACAAAAAGCATTTTATTTTGCGCCTAATTTTGTTGGCCAGATATTGGGAAAGGTTTCTCTAGGTCGCTCATCTGACTTACACAGCAACAACTAGGTACAGAAGCACCCATTTTCCAAAAGACTTCTTATTCACCTGTTCTCCTGGCCTTCCCACTAATTGTCTCATCCTCCAGAGACCTTCAGCTGACTTGGGGATTCTTGCAATGTCATGATTTCAGAGTACTGCATTTCTTACATAGTGATTGTCTTCCAAGAAGCAAAAAGCAGAAGTTGTGAGGCCAGTTAAAAGCAGGACCCAGAACAGGCATACTGTGTAAGTCAGCTTTTCATCACTATGACATAGTACTTGACATCTATAACTTAATGGAGGGTTAACCATTAGTTCTTGGTTTCAGAGGACTCAGTCCATGGTCAGTCTTCTCTAAGGCAGAAACACTATAATAGAGGGGCTTGGCAAAGGAGATGGGAAAGCAGACCAGAGGATCAGTGCCAGAGGAAGAGGCCAAGGTCCAAATACAGTAACCAATGTCATGCCTCCAGTGACCCATCCAGACATATCCAGTCAAGCTTTAACCCAGTCAAGTGGACATCACAGTTCATATTCACACACATTACGTTCCTTTGGTCATAAAAGATTCAAAATAGAGACCTACCTGTCTGTCTGTCTATCACCTACCTAACTACCTGCCTACCTTCCTTGTATTTTGATATTGTGGATAGAATCCAGGGCCTACAGAATGCTATACACATGCTCTACCTCTGAGCTATAAATCCAGCCTGTGACTTCATCTTTTGATGATAGAGTGACAATGTCACATTGCAGATAGACATACTGAGCTAGGGGTCAATGTTATGAACATACGTTACTTATTGTCATTTTAATTTTTTACTTTTGTGAATAGTAAAAACATTTACAGTACCCTTCCATCTTTTCCTTAGGATTTATAAGAACTATATTCCCCATTTGTATTTGTATATGTTCTTCAAATTTTAATTTTAAAATACTACCTCAAGTAGAAGAATGTAACAGGAGTCAGTTTCATACTAATTTGCTAACACTGACCACATCCTACTCCCATTAATACCTTCATCTTAACCTTTGCACTGGACACAGGTGGCTCTGCAGCACAATGGACAGCACACTGGACTTGTAGTGCACTGGGCACTTTTTCCCCCCATAAACAGTACATATGCTACACTTTTGGTCAGTACCAGAAAGACTAGATTGGTATCCTTTTAATACAACTTCATTGAAAATATGTGGCTTCCTCTATCAAAACAAACAAACAAAAAACAACAATCCTCATGTTTTATTTTTAAATTTTTGGAAAAGGGTCTTGCTATGTAGCCTAGGTTGGTCTCAAACTCATTGTGCTCCTCTGGCCTCAGCCTCCTAAGTATTGGAATTATACGCACGTGCCACTACATCTGGCAAAAAACGTAATTTTCATTTAAAAAAAATTCAGCTATAAAAGTGGCATACAAATAATGTCCAGATTAGTCAACACAGACAGTTTTCTCCTATTCTTTTATGTGCACTTGAGGATTTCTCCTGATATTAGCATAATAAAATTTTCACAGTGTACTTCATAAGTATGAAGAAAAAAAAGTGCTTTTCAGTGACCTTTTGAAAAGGACAAATCATGCATCTTTCTTCACAAAACACTCAATACCAGAAAAAGGAAACTGCGGTCAAATTATTTAGGCCACATTCTGACAGTTTGTGGAGAAATTAAAGACACTTATTTGTAGTCAGGTGTGCTGGTACATGCTTATAATTCCAGCACTATGACGCAGGAAGATTTCAAGAGCCCAATCTGGGCAACTTAGCAAAATCCTATTTAAAATTCAAAAATTAAAAAGGAGGGGCGGTAGCCACTTGCTCAATGAAAATGAAAAATGACTTTCAAAAGTTGAAATGAGAATTTTTTGTGAAATAAAAATGTCATTTAAATTCTAGATTTACTGAGGGAAAATCAACAATAAAAAAGGCAGAGGACAAAATGCTCTCAAGGTTTTGAAGTGTGAAAACACAGACTCCTTTTAATCATATGTATATGATCTTACTTTCTTCTAATAAAAATAAATCAATAGCTTTGAGTATGCACTCCGTATTTTGAAATAACAGTTGCTTTGCTTTGTCCTGACTAAATTATATGATAAAAGATGTGGCTTAGGGGCTGATGAGATAGCTTGGTGGTCTAAGCCCCTGCTTGGCAAAGACCAGAGTTTGATCCCCAGTACCACATGCTGTGCTACCCTGGTGCCAAGTAGGTCACTGAAACTGGGCATGGTGACTCAGGCCTGTAATCCTAGCACTGGGGAGGTTGAGACAGGAGGATCACTGCAAGTCGGAGCTGGGTAGTAAGACCCTGTATCAAATAAACAAAAAAATACAATTACCTCCCCCCCCCCCCCCCCCAAAAAAAAAAAAAAAAAAAAAAAAACAGGGCCCAGGAGATCATCAAAAAACAAAACCTACTATTGAAAGATATAGAAATTTTGAAAACACCCTATCCCTTTTTACAAGAAACCTTATCTTCTTGAGAAGGTGAAAGATCAAAGATAACACTCCTTTGTGGTTTTTTGTTGTTGTTGTTTTGTATCAGGAACTGAACTCAGGTCCTTGTGTGCTTTTTTTAAATTCCTTGTATGCTATAGAGGCAGGTGCTGTAACCCCAGCACAATACTCTATTTTTACCAAAGTATTGTACAGCCAAGTTGACACAATGTATCAACCACTACAAATACCAAATGTATCAAATGTACAAAATTCACATAGGAATGCATGAACTACAACAAATAATTCTTCCTCTTCAAATAATTGAAGTCAAAAATAAAAATAACAATCCTAAATAGGGCTGGGTGTGGCAGTGCATACCTGTACAAATCCCAGCACTTGGAAGGATGAGGCAGAAGGAGAGCTTCAAATTCAGGGCCAGGCCAAATTACTTAGTGAGACCTGTCTCTAAAACAGAAAGAAAAACATTCTAAATGCGTGATCTGATGTCCTGTTACGCAGGTCTGAACATTGTCAACCTGACTGGCTTGGGATCTGCCTGGAGAATAGGAAAGCATATTTATAACAGGGCCAGGAAGACAGCTCAGTGGCATAACTGCCTGTCTGGCAAGTACAAGGTCCTGAGTTCAAACTCTGATACAAAAAAAATTCTAGCTGTATCTGGCTGGGTCAGGGAGGCATGACATTGGGGTCTATATCAGGTTCCTATCCCTTTTCTGTCTGACCCTATTCCCTTCTCTGCTTTCTGGCCACCCTGAACAAAGTATTTTGCTCCCACATACCCCTCTACCATGATTCTTCTTCCTTGGAACCAGTCAGCCATGGACCAAACTCTCTGAACACCCAAGCCAAAATAAACCTCTCCTTTGACTTGTGGTTTCAGGTATTTTGTACAGGCAATAGCAAAGATAATCAATACAGTTTCACCATCCACAACTGTCCACAGATGCAGAAATACAGTAATAAGGACTGTTTATTCTCAGTGATGGGAACATATACCCTTAAGAGAACCAGAGATTAGAAAGGATCAGAGGAAAGGCTACAAAAAGATACTTCTACTCAAATCTGTCCTTAGTGGCTCTGTATTTTGGCTAAAAGGAAAATCATTTTTTTTGGCATTTTCCAAATCCTGTTTGGAAGTAAGTATGTGATTCATTTTTAGAATCAACACTAGAAACAAAAACTTTAAAACACTAGAAACATGAAAACTGTTATACCCTTGTCAAGAAAGACCACCTTATTCTTTGGTGTTCTGTCTCCCTGAGAGGAGTTTCAGTGAAACCAAGTGAAGTTTAAGTTTCAAAAGGACAGCTTTTGGCACATCTATCAAATATGGATATATAATCTTAAGAATCATGTTCTCCAAAAAACAAATGGCTCACATTGTATTTCTTTTCCCTGAACTCCTGTTGTCTTTATTACAAAAAACATTTCACTACAATAACAGAGCTAAAAGATAAAAGTGGAAAATACAGTATCAAACAGGTCTCAGGCATTAAATACTGGAATTCTTGGGTTGAAAGCCTCATTAAACAGCAGAGTGCTCAGCTTCAGGACACTTTTTAATGAACCATTTGCTTCCATTAGCTCCAGTCAGAAATAACTTGGAAGTGACAAAGGTTAAGCTACTTGTTTCCAAGTAAATGAACACCACCCTGGTTGTGCTTGGCTTTGAATGATTCTACAATATACAAACTAGACAGTCAACCCACCTAAGATTTTTTAAAAAAGGTGCCAGAAAGGCATTCTACCACATTACCAAAGAACAAAAATGGGCAGAATGGAGTATTTAAAAGAAATTTCTTGGGCCAGCCAAATAGCTCAGTGGATTAAAGCGCCTGCAAGCAGGCACAGCGGCAAGGGGTTCTGTCTCTGACCCTGCCGAGCTGACCCTGCCCCAAGGGCTGCACTAAGACTGTAATTGAGACTGGGCCTGGTGGTGTGCCTGTAATCCCAGCTCTTGGGAGGCTGTAAACAGGAGAATCACTAGGAGTCCGATCTAGCAGTGAGACTCTGAATACCCTGTAAACCCTGAACACCCTGTAAACTCTTCCCTAAAATACAGAAAGAAAAATAAATTTCTCAATGCTTTAAAACCGCAAGTGAGCTAATATTCTAAGACACATTAGTGTTTTCATGACAGTTATCCCTCAAGGCATGTAGACAAGACTTAACAACACAGACTTATGGCAGCAGTGACTCAACAGCACACAGAGGCAAAAAAGCTGCAATAGAAGTTTGTGTGAACAGGCTAGGACGGGTACTAATCTGTTTGGCAATCTGATGCTATCCTCATTTTGTAAAGTAGGCCAAAGGAAAAAAACGCATTCCTCAGAGCTGACTAGCAAGCCAAACTATCAGATATCAACCTGAAGCCCAAATCCCTTTCAACAGAATCACAGGTACAAATCCAGAAGCTTTGTTCTTTTGTGTACTATAATTACATTCTCAAGTGGTCAAGTCCTAAGCAAACCCAAAGAAGACAGGATCTGTGAAAAGCTCATTACACACAAAGAGATTTTTAATAACATATGAAAGTGGTCTAACACAATGACAATGAAAGTTTTATATGCTCTAAAATACCATCAAAAATTCGATATTGTCCCACTGTTTCTATAATCCATTCTGTCATGTGACTGCCCCTAATACTAAACACTGATAGCCAAGTATCAAAGCTGCTATTGGACCTTATTTCCCATCCTCTGTTTCATCAAACTTGAGGGTAAACATTTTCTCACATCAGCTATTTGTAGGGCAAAAAGCTTGTGAATAATGTCTCAGAAATGACTGTATTACCAGTTAGGTCTCAAGTTACAGACAACACCCAGACCATGAAAATATGACAGAATTTTTGGAACAATACACAGTCACAGAAACAGTAAAACCAAGAGTGTATGGACGAATAAGACAGCTCAGACAGGTTCTGATGTGCCTGCTTTCAACCTGCTCTTATCCTGAGAATCTGATACATACAGTTACCTGTCAACTTGTTGCTCCATTTTGTCTCAAGTGCACAAAGGGTACACAACGCCAAAGCTTGGAGTCCCAACACACAGAGGGGCCCTGTAAGCCAACAGTCAGGTCACCAAGTTAAACAGCAAACACGATTTCCATGAAAATAAAATTAAAAATACCAGCTTCACAGCATCAGCGAAGCAAAAGGGTTTTGCTCCCCAAAACTACAGAGATCTTGACACTTTACATACAGTTTTGTACGTGTATCTTGCTACAAACGACTGCCAAACACTCCTCCCAAAGTTCCCAAAAGTTTAAGAACACTCTCAAAGTAGCAGAAAAGTTTGTCACTAACGGGAACTGTCTGACGCTGCCTCTCAGAATCAGCAAACTAGGGCAAAGTCCACCACACGCATGACCTAACGCCAAGTACACCTTCAGACACACTTGAAACTCACGCCAACACGCCAAACCACACAGACACCACCCAAGTAACACCCAGGACGCGCTGCACACTTCTAGGAGCCCAGTTCTTGCATCAGGTCCCACAAGACCCCAGAAAAGGAGCCCACCTTGACCCCAAATAGGGTCCTGGGCACCCACGGCTGTAGTGACAGAGCCAAGCGCCCCAAGTAAGGAGAAGGCAGGACACAAGTCACAGCAACATGCAGCACACCGAAAAACGCCCCGGTGCTGGCCACCCCCACACTCCCAAGGCGGCCAGCCAGGCGGCAGGGTCCCGCCTGCGAAGACCCCTCACCGAGCCCACAGCCGCCACAGGCCCCCTGCTCCCTGGACCGACCGCCGTTTTCCACGTTAACCCCTCAAGCTGCTCGCCCATCTCGTGGAACACAACTGACAGGCCCTCCACAGCCTGGGGGCTTTGGTGGCCCCGTGGCGCGACAGATAACCCCCCAAAACCCCCAAAAAGCAGAAGTCCACAACTCCGCGCCTCCACGGCGGCCATCACGGCCAGAAAGCGGACTTTTCACGACAACTCCCACAATTCCCGCGACCTACAACTCCCAGCGTGCACCGGGCGGCGCCACAGTTAACCGTGTCGTGGCTACCGGGCTGCTCTGCACCCTTCCTGCTCCTGAAGCCAAACTGTTGCACTTACTTTCGCCCGCACTCTTTGAAACTAACTTAGGACATTTTGTCAAACAGTTACAGTTATGCCACCTCACCCCCTTGCTTTATCACACAAACAACCTCGGTTGCCCAGCACATTATCCCTGACAGAGTACTGTTTATTAATCTTCAGAGAACTCTTCACAGTATATGTTTACTATTTAAGGGGTAACTTTAGGTTCGATTTCATCTTCCCCTTTCTCTTTTCTAAGTTTTTCACATTTTTGTAAATTATTATGGTCCAGACAACCTTATACTCAACACCACTAATTTAAATGTTTTCTAAGTTCTGAGAATCAACCAGAAAGACTAACATACTGACTGCCCCAACAGTATTTGACATGTCTCCATTTTATAAGATAAATTCTTTTGACTATATTGAATTGAGAAATTCATGCAACTCCAACAATTCCTAATAAAACATTTAAGTATGGGCAATATATCTTTTCAGTTTCCAATTCAATTTTTTTTTTTGGAGATAACCCTGTTTGGCCAATAGCAGATTTTGCTTTTCCTTTCACTCTCTCGATAGAGGTAATCAAAAATAGCATATATTGCAGCTTTATTCTTTCTTGATTTTAAAATTTCAACAAATTATAAATACAGACACAGTTTAATAACGTTTGAAAAATAAATTGAGAGTCTATTTTTTCAAGAAACTGCAAAATCACATATTTCATTCATTCATGAATTCTTTTAGTCTTTCTTATTTTAATTAAAAATAAGGCATTTAAAATGTATTTCTTTGAAATATTTTGCCCATAATTTCACTAAACATCAACAAACATTTTTAGAGGTCGGTTATCATTAATATAAGTTAAATGTTCAAAATGCATACACAAATTCTAACATATCCTGACGTGTAACTGACTGACAGACAAAACAGCTGTTTGGTATTTGTTGCACGCACTAAAACAACTACAATTTCCCCAACATATCTGCTATTTTAACCGCACTCAAATATAAAATAAAATGTTCACAATATCTGATTTTTCCACAAAAGCATTTTGCCATTTGAAAGGGCAATCAAACTATATCATGAACTCCAAATCACAAAATTGAGCAGTCCATCAGAAACACAGAAACACTAAGAATTATTAGAAATAATGTCTCCAATGAAATTCTACAAAATTCTATTTTAAATGTGTCCTTTATTATACAGTCAGTTTATTGCTAAATTTTTTATCTTGTAAACTGCAATGAGAAAATTTTCCCATCGTTTTTTCTCACATATCATAGGCAGTTTCATAAACAATTAAGAAAAATGTTTAATACCAAAATATAACAATTATATATACATATAAATATGGAATTTTAGTCCATTATATTATTATAGCTGCTGTATTTTTCTAATTTTCACTTAGCACTTTAGTTAGTATCTAGCAAGGCAAAGTTGCATTTTTCTTTCTATTTTTTAATAGCTGTTAAAATATAAGAATGTATGCATCTTATATATATTATTATCCTGGTTTAAAAATGTATGATTTATAGGAAAGGATAAAAACAAGTCAGAAATGAAATTGATCTCATATACTGTATTTATAACGTGCTTATAATTCTCTTCTCAGTGCTATGAGATTATATTTTCCATTAAGAGGTTAAGTATATTTTTCTTTTATTTTTATCATCAAAATAGAGGATTTAAAATTGATATATTAAGGAATTTTATATAAGAATATGTTAGAAATAGCTTCATAATTTTTTCAGATTAACATAATTCTTAAACTGCTAAGAAGAAATACTAACCTTGAAGTTTGCTAATCCTAATTAAATTATTTAAGTAAGTTTTAGCAGATTTACTTAATATTAATATAAATGCTTCCATAATAATAAAATTTATTCTAGAAATAAATTCTTCAAATTTATACCAAAAAAATTAATATTTCCTCTTAAAGCTTTTTGATTAATTTTAGTACGTGAATTTTAAGGTGCATTTTCTTAAGAACTTAAGCTGTGCTAAGATTTTGTAAAATATACAAATGTAACAACTATATTAGCATATTTAAAATTAGGAGAAATCTTGTGTAGTTTGAAAACATATACATGGCCAGAGAAAAGAAGCATGACAATCTATTTCCTGTTCTAAATGTGGTACTGGTGACAGTGTTAGAATGTCCACATTTCTATATTTATAATAAATTCTATGTATAATGTCTATAACTACCTCTTTTGCTCTTTTAATTTCCTATAGTACTTCAAAGCATCTCAAAATGTTTGTTTAGACATTTGAAGTCTATATTTAGACATTTGCATTTTTAGTTTATCTCCTTTAAAATATCCCATTTTCATATATGTGATTTATGTTATTCATGCAAGTAAACTGCCCTAAAAGAATTATTGCCAAAAATAAATGTTGCTGACATTATGTGTCATTCAAAAAGTTAGCCTGTCTTTTCTTACATTACCAGTATAACATAATTACCAAAAACTGCAAGGAGGTCATGCACAAAATACTAGTTTTTCCTGATTGAATCAGTTGTTTTTATTATATTCTGGCCCTACAAAACAATAATTTCCTAGAGTGTGAGTATGGCCCATAGTTTAAATTTCTTTTATAGCTGAAATCTGAATTCACTAGGCTTCTGTTAAAGAAATGCTCCTTCTTTTAAGTTTATCAAGATAGTCTCTTATTATTATACTGGTTTACATTTACATTTTTGAATATTTTAAATGTCAAAAAAATCCCTTTATTCTAAGTTTGCTAAGTATGTTTTTTAAAAACTGCATCAGAAGCATAGCTTTCATTTTAGTTGTATATATCTTAAATACTCAAGATGGAACATAAATATCCTATTAGTCTATAGAAAGTGCAAAAAGATCTCTTTTTTTTACCAAAAAATTTATCTTTAAAAAAACTTATAATTATTTTAACTTATAAAATCCTGCTTTTCTCATCTTTATAAAGTTTGTATCAGTTAAAATTAGCAAAGTTAAAATATTTGTTATTTCTTTCCTCTAACTGAAATATTTTCATTTAAACTGATAGATAAATAATAGAAAATGTTTTCTTACCCAAAGAAGAAAATTCAGTTTTTAAAAAATTCTCCAAAGGGGAAACAAAAGAATGTTGAAGTTTCTTCAGAAGATGAAACAATATTTTCCTATAGGATAAGAAAGAAAGAAAGAAAGACATGCCACAGTAAATGATTATGATGCTTTCTATTCTATAAAACAAACTATCATAATGGGATGATGAATATTTGAATTTTTGTCTTAATTTTAGAAAGGAGAGCTGTAATATAATTAAATTAAGTTAATGCTGTCAATTTAAAAATCTTGGTTTAAATTTTATCAGAGGGTAGTAATTCCTTAAATTCTTAATTGTCTTACATTTAATTTTGCCATTCACTTATTTTGGGGTCTTATTTATGACTCAGTAGTTTTAGTACTTACACTATACTGAAATTATTAGCAATTAGATATTTTCTACTAGGTAGTAATGCTTGTTTAATACATAGACTACATATATATGTATATGATTTTTAAGTCTTAAACTTCAAATAAACATGTTAAAAATTTCCAATCCTAAAATTTCAAACTTTTAAAAGACCTATCTAGGTTTCAAATCAATTCCCCCCAACAAAAAAGCACTAGAAATATTATATATTCTGAAATGGAAATGCTAAACACCATAAGTCAGAGCATGATTTAGGCTGAATTTCTAAAAAACAATGTTCCTGATTCTCCCTCTCCCTCCTTCTGCCCATATTTTCTATTTAATGTAGGTTTGCCTTCATTAACTCACCTGCTTCTCTCCAAGGAAAAGCTACCTGCTGGGGAAACCTGTAGCACTCGACATGTCTCCTCTGTTTTCTGTAAGGATATACCATGCCAACCCCTGGAGGGGGGAAGTGAGTATTATGCTTTTTTTCTCTCCAAGTTCCTGTTCTCTAATTCTTCCTTCTGTGTGACGCTTTTACACTTAATTCTCCCCCCACCAGACCAACAAGATTTGTGTGATATTCTTCTCCCTGGCACTTGAGGGGCTTTTCTGGTTTTGTTTCTGTGTTTTGATACATAATCACTGTTCAGGTAGGATTATCTCTCCATATTCCAAACTTAAGTAATATTCCCCCTCACTAAAGGACTTGAGGATGGTCATTCACGTGACCCTCCCAATTTTTTGTTCACCAGGTACTATGGTATTTGGGGTTCTTATGTAGATGGATGAATAGAATCACAAGGAAGAATCCAAACCACAGACACAACCCCTCATAGCAGTGATGATTTCTTACTCAGATCATCAATGTTTGATATCTTAGAGCAACATAGGACCTGTGAAATCCATATGCACAGACACAAAAAAAATCCCTTTCCTTTACATCACTCTTGGTGACTTTTGATTATCTAAGCCATTTGTTTCCCCCAAAGGATCTGACCTATATGGTACAAATAATTTTGCAAGGGGGATTTTTTTTTTTTATTAGAGTACAGGAGTTGGTCCCACCCAGACTCAATCAATTTCTGGGCACAATCAGTGTGAGCCACTAAGTCTCTACCCAGATGAGAAGCTCAAGTTCTGTCTCTCTTGTTGCTTTGTCACGTACTCCTGAGAGATGG